AGAGAGTGGTCGATCACGTCACTTACACTTGAATCCAGAACAACTATGCACAGTGGAATAATTACATGTATGAAATAAACTTATGACAGTACAAAGAACTTTAATAAAACAATTCAATACAAGATGCTTTATAACAAGAATTCAAGTAAGATTATTAAAAAGCACAGAAATTAAGACGCATGTGAGATATTTCAAAGATTTGCCGATAATTGAAAATGGGTGCCGAGAGATATCCTTAACGTTGTTGTCGTGTGGTGATAGACGTATCCTCACTTTGTGTTTATTTTCATATTTTGAAGAGTATTAAATACGTGTTAATGATATTTTTAGGAATCAGTCAAAATGAAAAGAGGAATAAGTATATAGAATTTTGGTGATGACTTTCTATAATTACATGTATTATAGATTAGGTAACACTAGTGACATTCCTTTTTGATCAACCCTCTAAATGATATTTTGCATGTTTATTTTTACCTCATAATTATGATACGTTTTAATGCCTAGAAAAAAAACCTTGCACCATTTCCATAACCACTTGGGTACATTTTCATTTTTGAAAAATAGCACAAGGAAATATATGTATATAAGTTTTTCTGTCCTACATGTACAGTCCTTTTGTTTGTTTTTTTCCCAGCCTGACAGATTTAAGATTCATCATTATTTTTTCTTCCAAGCATCCTGAGACGCAAAGATACTTTAACAATAACTAAACATGGAGTCATCACGTTGCAAATTAAAGTTTCATTTTTTGTTTAAAAACTTATTCATTCAAAAATTGTTCTTAGAGTTTTTTGTAGACTGTAACTGTCTGATCTTGGCAATTTGAAGTCAAGTAAAGAGTAAGACAAAAATAAAGTGGGAGTTATCTTTCTTTAGACATTTTTGAAAGACATAAAAATCTGCTAAGAAATCTGATCAACTCCGTCATACATGTAACTAATCACTGGGGTATCCGTTTTAAAGAAAATGAGCGTGTTTGGCGTGTGATCTGCAGGAAACATGTGTACGAAATATTTATAGTTTAAAAATGTCCTCGATTTGGTCGGATGACCACAGCTGGTCAGACTTTACAAAGTTACAACACACAGGACAATGTTATATTTAGTTTGAAATACCTTGTCAAATCTTAATAGTTCGATAACATAGTAACGCTTCACATGAATAATAAACACCTGTAAGATAATAGGATATAGTTAAATGCAATGACATGTGTATATGAAAGTTTCACTAGGATGGAAGAACTGCTTTCGCTCTTTGTGCAACGGAACCAAAAGAACGAGGGCGCTTTTGATTGGCATTCGGCAGGAATCTGGGCGCACTTGAAAAGTGAAAATTTCATTGATCTGTCACATGAAATTTTAGCATTCTTTTGATGTATCGGGTTCCTGTGAAATAGGAAAGGGACATATTTTCCCGATATTGTATTTTGATTTGCGAAAAAAGAACTTCAAAATTGGCTAGATGAGTCATTTGGTACAAAATGTTACATTTTTAAACACGTTTTTCTAAAAATTTGCTATCTCTGGGGTATCTCTCCATGATTTTGAAACGTTATTTGTGTGCATTTTAATCCAAAGAAACTAACAAACATTTGTAAAAAATGGAGAGAAGACCCAGAGACGATAAAAAATGAATTTTCCCCCCAAAAAAATTCCAATGTGTAAATGCGGCGCTTCATTCTCGCTTTAAAAACCATTCAGTGTGTGTAGCGGTGATAGCTCAGTAGTATGCGTAGTGTGTCCAATGCATTGCAAAAGATATATTTTTGGTTCGATCCTCGCATGGAGCGTTCATATTTTTTTTTAGTACAAACAATCAATTCTTTTGTCGGTTTAATTTTATGTACTGATTTATTTTCAAATAGACAAATTCTGGTTCTGTTGCACCGAAAGCGAAAGCAATTCTTCCAACCTACTGATACTTTAATATATACACGTAATTGCATTTAACCAGACCCTATATCGTGTATATGTGTTTATTATCTATGTGAAGCGTTACTAAGTTTTACATGTAGTAATTATTAAGATGAGGGGACTGATATATTAAATTTGACAAAGTTTTCAAACTAAATGTAACATTTTCCCATGTGCGTAACTTTGTAAAGTATGTCCAGCTGTGGTCAACAGACCATATCGTAGACATTTAAACTATAAATGTTTCGTACGCCTTATTCCTGCAGATCACACGCCAAACACGCCCATCTTCTTTATCTATTTTAAAGTTTTTTTTGGATTCCAGTGCAATGGACAGGTAACGCATACTACTGAGCTTTCATTGTTACACTAACAATATGGATTAAAAAAAATAAAGCACTGCATTTTCAAAATGAGATTTCTTGGGGAAAAGTTCATTTTTATGGTCTCTGGGTCTTCTCTCCATTCAGTACAAATGTTTTCTTGTTTCATAGTTTAAATGCACACAAATAACGTTTTAAAACTATGGATTGATGACACAGAGATATTTTTTAACGTATTTAAAATCTAACAGTTTGTACCAAATGAACCATTTAGCCTCTTTTCAAGTAATTTTTAGCAAATAAAAACACAATATCAGAAAATATTGAATGCCAAAAGTATGCAGGGAGACTGCACGGAGGCCGTGACATCATAATTCACTCTAATGCCCGCTGAACAAGGTGTGGCTAAAACCCTGCACACCCAATGAATATGTCAGTCACACTATTTAGCTTTGATAAACCGATTTAACTTGAATGAGTGAAATCCAATTATTCTATTCATTTCTTTTGGTCTTTTATTGCTCAGTATTTGTAGCTATGAAAACATCTTACAATACGTTGTTCTTCAAAGTGGAGGTACTGACGTGATTTTACACTGTATGCTTTTCCACAGGAAGTTGACAGTGCTATTTTTGGGCAGCATATTCCATTCTAGTTTGTAGTATCTGACGTTTTCCAGGCTTTTTCACGATTTTGATATTTTACATGCCAGGAAAACGTCAGAACCGGCGCCTTTACGAAAACTGGAAATTTCACCGTCTCCAACAGGAGCTAATTTTCGAAACTTGCGAACTGAATTAAATGCCGAACTTACAATTTATCAGTAACACAATGCTTCTAGAACTCACCAATATCGATAAAAAGAAGATATCAGTTCACATTTCGATACAGGTCTTGCAAAATTTTAAAATGCAAGAAATGAAAAGTAAACTCGACGGTCTGTTTTCACCAGACTGTATATTTCATAAACAAACCATAAAAACGATGTAGGTGAGTATTAAAGGCATTGTACTATTAAAAAGTTGTGAATTCAGCTATTAATTCGGTTCCCAAGTATCGAAAATCAACCCAAGAATGCCGCCTCCAGTTTTTGAGGCGGCGAATTTCCAGTTTTTAGCTCACCTGAGCCGAAGGCTCAAGTGAGCTTTTCTGATCACATTTTGTCTGTAGTCCGTCCGTCCGTCTGTCTGTCCGTCCGTCTGTTCGTCTGTAAACTTTTCACATTTTCGATTTCTTCTCCAGAACCACTGGGCCAATTTCAACCAAACTTGCCACAAAGTATCCTTGGGTAAAGGGGATTCAAGTTTATTCAAATGAAGGGCCACGCCTTCTTCCAATGGGAGATAATTAAGAATTCGTGAAAAATTAATGGCATCATTAAAAGATCTTCTTCTCAAGAACCACTGTGCTTGAAAATATGAAACTTATGTGGAAGCATCCTCAGGTAGTGTACATTCAAGTTTGTTCAAATCATGATCCCCGGGGACCGGTGGGGGCCACAATGGGCGATCAAAGTTTTACATAGGAATATATTGGAAAAATCTTTTAAAATCTTCTTCTCAAGAACAGCAAAACCATGATTGGTCATATTTACATGGAAGCATCCTCAGATAGTGTACATTCAAATTTGTACAAATCGTGACCCCCAGGGATAGGGTGGGGCCACAATGGGCGATCAAAGTTTTACGTAGGAACACATAGTAAAAATCTTTTTTTAAAAAACTTTTAAAATATGAATTCTGTTCAATTAGATATTCGTTCTTTAAACTTTTTTTTGGTGAAAGCTACTGCTGTAAATAAATGAATATTGTGTAAGTATTTTATTTGAAGTTTATCCATTGTTGTTCAATGTATTCTTCCAATTTTTTGTGGTATATATATATATATATATATATATATATATATATATATATATATATATATATATATATATATATAAAAAAAAATTATATACAGCTTCGTTGATTCTATTGTCATACAGAGAATGAAATAAAACTTTCCTATTGTAGTTTCAATTTTAGCTTGATAGGTATTTCCGAGGCTGCATTTCATTCCGGAAATTTTTGAAATTTTTAATTTTTCATTTCCGACATATCATAGTTTTCATCTCCGACATTTTTCAGGTAGTACTTTTTGGCAATGAAAGCAAGATTCAAGACTTCACTTATAAAAAATTTTAAAGAATAAATCATGAATAAATCTTTGTAATCCGAATAAAGAGTTTTGCCTACCTATCAATGAAGCGAAAATTAAAGATTAATGAAGCGAAAATTAAAGATTTTTTTTTCGTTCCCTGAGCACTTGTAAGTTTTGTGAACATTCGCTCATTTCCTTTTCAAATGTTCAGTTTAAGTTTGAAATCGGATATGTTAGGATGGAAATTATAAGGCATATTTTGAAAATATGGTTTGAAATAAAGTCTTTAAAAATTCCATTTCCACCTACTTGGTTAACATTAAATTGCCAGAACGGTACACTGCAAAAATTCCGGAAGTGAAAAAAAAATAATGTCCGAAATGAAAATAAAAATTGTCGATAATGAAATCAAAAAATGTTGGAAATGCTACGTAAAATTCCGGAAATGAAATGCCGCCGAACACAAATCTTGTAAAAAAACAGATTATCGTCAATGAGTAGGACCTCTGAACTATGATCACCGTTTTATTAATAATTGCAGAGAAGAATTTTGCATATGATGATTTCTCTGTCGTCCAATGTCTATTGTCTAATATGATAAAAACAAAAAGTTACTTTTTGGTATTTATTGTGAAAAATTAATATTGTCGTCGGTGAAATAAATAATTCAATTTTTTTCAATAAAATTAAATGATATTTCAAGCATTTATTACAAAGTCCATTAGAAATATACATATCAGATTGCAGAGAGTATAAGTACCAACATAAAATCTATCTCTATTCTTTTTCATGTAGATATTACTGATATGAGCGACTCGTAAAATATTTTTCACATGAATCTCATTAATCGCACTTTTTATATAGTTAAAACAACCTTTAAATCAACTGCCTATTAGCAAAACATCACTTTTACTTGATGACGCGCTTAAAATACATTGCAAGTATATCAAACAGTTTCCACTGATTTAAACACAATAGTCAGTATATGCACACGTCTGTCTGAGAATAAATAAATAAAACATCATTTGGATTTTACATACGAAACATTTCCTCAAAATTTGAATGAAAACATCGGTTTTAAGTAATGTGTTATTCGGCCAAAAAAATGAATTATAGGTTTTACTACAGAAAAAATATTTTTCCTTATTTGTGCAAGAATGTGCAACTTGACAACTCATCTAAATGATTTAGTCTCTAAGTTACGATACAGTACAATTTACAGGGTAAAAAAATAATACAGCAGCTATAATTTTTTCTAAATTTCCTACTGAAATGAGTACACGAATTGAAAAAAAGAAAAAAAATGAAAGATGTACAAGTGAATAGAAATTAAAACATAGTTTTTTACTTTATAACATTTATTCAATGGTTCGTTTTTTCTTTGTAAAAAAAAGGAATACAGAGACAATTAGCAAAGTAAAAACGTTTTAACATTTGACTGAAATACTGGCTGAATACAGACAAATGATTGGGAAGCAAATATTTTTGAAATACAATCCTAAACATCAGTATTGCATCGTGATTGAAGCTTTCCTTCATTTATTCCTCTTCTTCGATGTCACTGTCAAATATTATAGGCAACACAACCATTAACGAAACAATTATTGTAGTAATGTAAATGATAAAGAAAATTCGATCAAATATTAACGCCAGAGCTTTCCATTCTTTCGCTATTTTTTCTTTCCTGTCTTTTTCCTCTAGTCTCTCTTTATAAATTTTTATAAAGTTTCTTATTTCATTGACTTTCGTATGGATCACGGACAACTCTGCACTAGATTCCTTTTGAACTGTGATTAAAGTTTCACTGGAGCCTTTCCAATCGTTTGTAAACCTACTCCCATCACCATTCACACCCATATAACGCCGAGAAGTGTTGGGGCATGTCACGTGAACTTCCTCCAGGAAAGGCGCAACGAGTGTGTCCATACATAAAATCCGGGCTACGTATGAGAACATCACCTGTAAAATATGTCACTGAAACAATAAGAACATCAGCTGTAAAATATGTCACTGATGAAATACAACAAAGGCATCGTTCAGTGACATCCCAAGTGCTCCGTTCTTCAAACAACAATTAAACATACAGCCTAAATAAACAGGCTTATATGTGCATTATACGCATTAACAATATTTAATTTTATTCCAAATTGCATCTCCCTTCTAACTCTGCAAACTGACCACATCTTGCTACTAACTGAAAAACTCTAGATTCAAGATGATAATAAAATCTATACCTGACTATCAGAGTTCTGCTATTGCTCTCAAGATACTGCTGAATTTAAATGTGAACTTTGAGAATTTGTTCCAAAAAATAAACCATTTACTCTGGCCTAGCATTCTTGTTCTCTCAATTCACATGCAAAGGAAACAGATACAGTAATACAGGGACGGACGATTTTGCTTAGTTATAAACCTAATTCTTTATATCCTGTAACGGTACATATTTTCGTTTTGTATATATTGTCGTCGGCGACAATATGTACCTACCCTCACTGCACATATTGTCCTCCACCGGTACATATTGTCGCCGGCTGAAAAGTAACACATGTACATACTGTCGCTGGCGACATTATGTGCCTCGCCCTCACTGTACATATTGTCACCCAACAGATATTGTTGCTTAAAGATTTCTTTTGTTGCTTTTTGGTAAGTGAATGTAATTGGTGAGTGAATCACATTGACGTGTCTCATATGTTTTTTCATGCAGCGTGATTGTGACGGTACATTTTGTCGTCCCGTTCATATTGTCGCCGACGACAATGTGTACCTATCCTCACTGCGCATACTGTCGTCCATCAGAATATGTCCCATGACAATGCACAGCAATGCTCCATATAAATATGGCCAGAGAAACGAAAAACTTCAACAATGGTCATATACACTATTACACTTAATTTGATCGCCGAAATATAATGGCTGGGGCGCCGGTGCTAAAATAAGATCAGAAAAGCTCACTTGAAAAGCTCACTTGAACTTCCTGTTTAGGTGATTTAAAAATGTCAACCCCAACACAATTATATCGGCACACATCCTCGCAATGCCAGGGGACCTGAGTCAACATGTTGCCGTTAGCAACGGCAACGTGTTGACTCAGGACCACTGGCATTGCGAGGATGATCGGCACATGATTGTATATAAGAATAATACAAAAACTAATTTCCAAATAACCATTACTACTGAACAAAAAAAACCCTAATATATGTATTCAATCTCCAAGTATATATTACAGAAAAAAATAAGCTGATTTATCAGATATCTCAAGAATTACTGTATCTTGACATATCATAGTGATGTACATCAATCCTGGACACAATTTTCTGACCAAAAAGTTTTCCCTACAGCATTGCGAGTAATGCTGTCTGCCTCCCTCTGTACGTGTGTGTGTTTGTCAATCTTTTCTTTCTCAAGTAAATATTCGTCAAAACAATATATCGACGACAATATATGCCGATCTTGACTGTACATTTTGTCGTCCATTATGCAGGAGGAAAATAAAGCTCATCTCGGTACATATTGTCGCCAGCGACAATATGTACCGATGGACGACAATATGTGCAGTGAGGGTAGGTACATATTGTCGCCGACGACAATATGTACAAAACGACAATATGTACCGTCACATATTAAGTTCACAATGTATTCAACTCACAATTTTTCATACAAATTCATAGAATGGAACCTTTTTCGTTGACTTTCAACAAATGGTCCTTTCTCGAGCCACTAGACAAGTAGCTATAGTCATCTAGTTAAGAAGTAATCAAAACGGTAGTCACATTCTCAAATTTGACATAAATCTTCGAGCCCATGGGGTTCATTGAAATCTCTGGCAACTTTGTAAAATTCATTTCGTAGGGCTGAAAAGTCCTATTCAGTTTGGTCATTTAGACTTAATTAAAGAGGTCAAGAAGTCTCTTTTTATAAGGCAAGAATGAATAAAACAAGATAGTAAATTATGCAAGGATGTCTCTATTGCTAGTAAACTATTGCTAATGAATAAAGTTGATGAGGTATGTGACTTACTTCTGATGTCGAAAGAAAGTATACAAAGTATACTGCAGGTAATCCCAGTAAAAATAATTAAATACTGTTAGAAATGATTTTTTTTTAAAATAGTAAAAGAAAACAAAATATGTTTCATCATTCTGGAAGAAAATACAAGGTATGTGTTTTATATACTGTAGCTTTTAGGCGCTAGTGTACTTGCACCAAGTAAGTGATCACATCGAAATACTAACAATCAAGTTTTTTGTTGCCTGAGCTATCTACTTTACTGACATTTCTAGAACATGCTTGTCTTGATGATTATGTTGACAAACCTTTTTAAGTGTCTTTGGAAGATGAACCGGGTACCTCGTTCCCGAGACGGACATGTTTACAACAAACACACATAGGAATGAAGACATTGTTATCAACACCATGTTTACACAGTAATAAGTACCTGTAAAAGAAAGGAAGCCATATTACTGATTCGAACACCAATTTACATCTTTCAAAAAAAACTCATGACTACATCTTGAACTTCGGCGTTGTTTTTGACCAATCACTGATTGGGTTGTGGTTTAAGCCCCACCATACCTGATTTTCCTCAGAATGCAAATGGAATAAAGTTGACATTTTTCTACTTAGTCAAGTTAAGATGAAGGAAGAAAATAGATGCACATAACTATTTTAACAGTTTTTCATAATTCTTCATGGATAATTTTTATTTTATATAACCAAAATATAATTTTTTAAAGAAAAATTTCAAATTATTTGAAATATGTACATAAAAATTTTAGCTCCATTTTCAGTAACGACAATTGGTGCAAATTATAGAAAAAATAACTAAAACCTTTGATCAAAAATGCAGGCAGAACAATGCATTCAAATATTTCTATTGAATTTCTTCACTATCATACCAAATCTTAAAATTTATACCAAGAAAGATATCAAACGTGCAAATAAAACTTTGATGTTAAAATAGCCTAAGGCTTACCACACAATTTGTGAAAACTGTTAAACTACTCTAGAGGTTGAAATTAGCAGAGAACCATGAAACATGGCAACAACATTCCTGGCAAATTTGTAAAAAGGTGTAACAACGTGCATATTACGTTCACGCCAGTCGTGTTCTGACTCATAAAACCATTTTGCACATGTGATTAGCGTGATTAGATGTCGATAGAAGTCTTGAGGCATGTCTCATTTCTTTCAAAATGGTTTCATGAATAATGGCCACTACAAATAAAGTTCACGCCGCTTCCTTCGTTGATGTAATGCGTTCCTGGGCGGTGAACTTTTGCGACACTATATTGCCAAAAACGTGGAGGGTTTCTGAACCTCTATTGCCCCTACGACATTTTGTGGACAACATCTAATCTTACCTAGAACTGGGGAGGTTTCAGATGGTGGTATATTACGTTGGAAGATGGACAACAGAACGAAGTATGCCATGAATATACTCATTCCTGTGGATAAAAGACAAGACAAATGAGACAAAGACGAATATGTGCTTACCTATAACCGGGAAGGATCTGGCAGCAGGCGGCAGACTGGCCTCGAAGATTATCAGTAAGAGAAAGAACGCCATGAAAGTGTTCATGCCTAGAAGGGAAAGGAAATGGTGTTAGTGAAACGAGCCTAGTGTATTTCCCAACCCATTTACAAAAGTCTGCTTCCCAAAGAGGTCTAACCCAGCGTTCACTATAATTATTATTTTATTATTGGGATTTCCTAGTAGCGAAGGATTTGCAAACCATCTAAAAAATAAATCAAAGAAGTTAAATGCCTACATGCATTCTAAGAAAACTATTCTTTTATGATATTTTATGAAGAATGAAAAACTACTACTTTTGAAGTTTCCCGTGCAAATGTAAATACTCATACAAATACATGTGTATTTAAGCAAATACAATGAAATGTGGATCATAATAGCACAAAAGAAATAATGATATTTGAAGAGTAACGTCTTTTCATGGTTTTAAACATACAAAAATGTACTTATGTGTGAAACAATGGACTAAAACTTTTCACTCACAACAATATTTGATCTATTCTCAATATTAATAAATTTCAAATCTACGCGCAATGTATTTCTCTAAAGAATCTTTTCAAGAAGTCGTTCTTCTTTCTATATGAACGATTTAGTTTTTATATCCTTACCAAGAGTAAGTTTGGCGGGGGACTCTGCCGGAATCCAGAACAAAATAAGTGTCAGAGAGGTCAACAAAACACACGGTAAAATAAGCGTGTAAGCATAGAACGTAGCCTTCCGGCGAATAGTTAACCAGAACTTTAAGTCTATAAATGGTTCCGGACAACAGGTGTACATTTCAACGTTTTTCTTTCCCCAAGTTTTTATAACGTGCCAGACGTTACTCTTTTGGAAATTGCTTAAATCCCATGCTACGTCGTCTTTGAAGAATAAATCGAGTTGTAGCCCATCGTAGGTCCAAGAGCCGAATTTTAAGTGACATCTCTGCTTATCAAAAGGGAAGGCTTTGACATCTATGTCACATGAACTCTTAAACACGGCCTGAGGAATCCATACCACGTGTCCAGTGTGTTCCACGATACAGAGTGAGTCTCTTCTCTCATGCAAACGTTCATCGGCACTGAAAATAAATAGAATACGACGAATAAGTCTCATAAGAACTACTGGCAGCTTTCCTTCAGCCCTTTCAAAATGTTCGAAAAACATTTCAACTTGACAAAAAGCTCTTTTTAAACACAGACTACAAACTGACAATCATAAAAATGAATATTAATTGTTCCCCTAAGCTACACAATATTTTGGTTTCTAGTATTTATCGAGTGTTAGCACGATTACTTTAAAAATGGGCAAATCCTTAAATCACTTTGGAAGAACTCAAAGACCAAAGTGTTTTTTTTTCCTTTTGCTATTTTCCCCTTACTTTTGTTTCAACTAAATATATTGCTAAAAGAAAGTGTAAAGTATTCTGCTAATTAAGTCACAAAAATGCTTGAACCGTTTATTCCTAACAGAAGCCATACAGAAAACAGAATCACTTTAGCATTTCTTTCAATTTTATCTATGTCTTCTAATGCTAGACAAGTTCACCACAGCTAGTTTTTGCTAAATTTGTATAAATCAAATAAAACACTTTCATAGAGATGAATGATGTCATTTATTTTAATGACGGTATAAATGTAAACAATTTAACACACAAGAAGGGGATCAGATTCACAAGCCTGAAAGAAAACATCACAAGAAAAAAATAGCAAAAAGATGGCACATCAAAACAAAATGGGCCTTGGATGGCACAGATGAGATCTGCATGTCACATCTTGCATGTAGTGACTTGCATATCACATCTTGTGGCCCATTTTGTATTGATGTGCCATCTTTTTGCTATTTTTTTCTTGTGATGTTTTCTTTGTATTGTTTTATAGGTACTTTTTTCTAGTCGTTTTTTGGGGGATCAGACATTATTATATTTTTCGTAACTTACAATCAGAGCTTGTGAGTCTGATCCCCTTCTTGTGTGTTAAATTGTTTACATTTATACCGTCATTTAAATAAATGACATAATTCATCTCTATGAAAGTGTTTTATTTGATTTATACAAATTTAGCAAAAACTAGCTGCGGTGACCTTGCCTAGCATTAGAAGACATAAAACAACAATTATTAGAATAAAAATTATATTTATGTATTTAATGCAGGGATTTATGTAGAGGATTCCATAAGAATTAAATGCTTGTAAAGTTCCTTTATTGTAAAAATTCTTAGATCCACGCCTTGGCCAATGTATTAATTAATTACGCCTAGCCAAGGATGGTATAAGGTCACGTGGTCAGCTTAGCGAGTCAGTTGTATTTTGATACCCGCAAGCTGACCACCGTTTATCCTTATGGAATCCTCTACATAAATCCCCGCATTAAATACATAAATACAATTATTATTCTAATAATTGTTGTTTTTCGAGATTGGACACATTCCTGAAATTATGATAAATAAAATATATAAAATGAAAGATACAAGTTCAAATTTACATGAAATCTGACATTAATAAACTTTCATTGTGTTAATAATAGGGGTGCACACAACGTATTTTTTGATATTTGAGTGACTACGATTATTTTACTACTGACAAATCATCAAACTAGAACGTAAAAATGGAACCTACTGAAGGAAAAAATAACTTCATAAACGCTTGAATGATCTAATTATATGTAAACCCAAGGGCAAAATATATCTACCAAATCAGAGAAATGAAATTTGATATCAATAGACAAAAAAAGCGAAATTCATGCGTCTGTTTTTGGTTTTCAGACATAAGATGTTATGAATATGGAGACAAAAATCCTCATGATCCTTTCAATTTCGACCATACTTGTGCTGAGTTATCAGTCTCAGAGAATCGTTATAAAACGCACAAAACTGATAAACATTGCCTCTTTTCTGACTTTTTCCGCAAATATCTAATTCTAACAATGTTCCATGCCTTTCGGTTTCATCGAGAGCAGACACTAATGAACTATTTCTGGAGAAAATCATTTTATTGTCGATGTTTAATCGTGGAATCCAAGTCTAAACGCAATGTCGTTTTGTGTGATCACGTCTCGTCCTAATGGTTGGACAGAACGACTGCGGGTTGAAAATCGCCGGAACACTCACGGATATTAGACGCATATAAGAACATTCACTCTTTTATTGATGAAAGCTAATTCTTTTATTGCAGGGCTTTGAAAATGTTCCCACCAGAGTGAATTTTATGGTACCATGTAGAATTGGGGTATCAACTTTGATCGGGCCAGCTTAAGACGCATATATTATGTATTAAACACCGGCCGTGTAAAAAGAGGAAAAATGAATCATTGAAATGGACCAGATGTTATAAAGCATTTGCAACCCCATGAAGTTTTAATGCCACGATTTACTTTATACATCTTATAGTGCACACGAATGATATGATAATCAATGTACAGGCTCTTAAGGGGAGACAAAGAAGTCTTATAAGAATAATAATATAATGTGGTAAATTTTGAATTTACTAGGTAGAAGTAAATGCAAAATTAAATTCTGCATTTATCTTCAACTAGTAAATTCAAAAGTAAGAACTAATTAAATGTTATCAAACAATTTTTTATACTTATGCAGCATCAGTTGGGGACATATATTATTTCAAATTGATTCTTTAAGCATATTTTCAAATGAATTGTCGTATCTTGCATCATGTTATATGTTCTCCACAAAGAAAAGGTCAGGATACCTAAAAATTAATAGTAATGAAGACCTGTTATCATTTCGTTTTCTTACAAATTGTAGAGTCTTAAGTCAGGGGTCCATATTTCTGTAGCAGGGATGTTGATTTTTGTCACTCCGTGAAATTCTGTGACATTCCATCTGAGATGAACATCTGTCCAGTTCTGAAAAATGTACATTCTTTCTAAGAAAACTTTAAAAATACATTTGTACAAGAAACCAAAACCAATGCACATATGTCTATGTAAATGTAATAGAATTGAAATTTTGTATTAAGTTCATTGATATTTCCAAAATCACTTTAAATCTTTCATAAACAATATTTTCATGAAGATATAAAGGATGAATATATAGTATGGCAATTTACATTTTTAAAATAAGATAGATGAACAATTCTCTAAAGAATGCAATTCTTAAACGATGAATGCTTATAATGATGCATCGTGTATCTGTCGTATTAGATACTCATAAACAGCTGTAGATAACAGCACCTGTTTGTTTCTAACAACACACCACTGCTATAAGAGTTAATGTAAAATGTAATGCATTTTCCCCAGCAAACCAATTAATGATTTTCCCCAATTCTACTTACTTATATTTATCATCTTATGACTGGAAAACAAGGGCAGTATAGTAAGATACAAAACTGATAATACCATTTGAAACCAAATAATTGTGACTTAGATATGATTGACATAAAGATCCGCGTCTTTCAGATCACAATATCCCAAGGTATCTAATAATAAGTTCAAATTACTGGAAATACTTGACCAAATGCAGGAATTTTTACAATGTATTTAAGTCTTCTTGGCATTTCGACAATCCATGGATGTCTTGACGAGTATTATTTATCGTTTCTGACAGGAAACATTTATAAGAATAAGAAATGAAGTGAACTAGCGTGTATCTTGGGGGCAGTGTGAGAAAGACATGGAAGGTCAATATCTAGAAATCACGAGATAACTTAGACTCCTACAACCTCCCGAAAGGAGAGTCCAGGGGGTCATTATCTGAAGGTAATAACCATGTGACATCCCAAAGACACTTTACATATTCTGTATATATTTCTTTTCATGACATGGTGCCGAACCTTTCGTCATTTACATTTTTAGCTCTAAAGCTCAGAAAACCTTCTGACCTAACGTGCTTCTGTGAACAAATTAAATGCACATTTTGGAAACAAATGTACATGTATAACAATTAAACAAAGAAGCAAACAAAACATATCATTGCAATTTTATTATAATTTTCATATTCATGATTGATATTTTACTTTCCAGTATTTAGTTGCTCCTCTTCTTGCACGAATGAAAGCCTGAAGCAACTGTGTAAGCCATAAATAAAGTTTTCACGAAAACGTTTTCGGAATTTAGCACCATTCCCGCTGGAGTGACATCCATACTGACATTTGTTTTAAGTCATTGACATGTGACATGTTTTCTGGGCAGAGACAGGTCTTTTTTCGACCCCAAATGTTATAAGTTGGGTTTGAATCAGGACTGTTTTCCGGTCATGGAACTGTAGAAGCTGCCTTGGATTTGAAAAACTTTTCCTTTTTTTAGCTATAGCACGGTGCTATATACATATAGCACCGTGCTATTAAATTATATAAACAAAAACCACTCCTAACTTCTGTCAGTATCTTCCTTCTGCTCAAAATAGAGCTCCTCAAACGTTAAGAATTTTGACATTTCTGCGACCGGGAAACAGTCCTGATTTAAACCCAGTTTAAAACAATCGGTTGGAATAAAAAAGATCTTCAATGGTCAAAACATATACCAACGACTAAAAGGATATGTGGATGACACTCAAGCCGGAATGGTGGGTAATTCCCAGAACGTTGTGTGAAATCGTTATTCTGATTTCAAAGTATACCTAGTCGCATTCGACTGTTATTCGCGCAAAAGCGGGGAACTAAAAAAAATAAAATAAAATATCAATCTTGAATATAAAAATTAAATGTACACGTCTTTGTTTGTTACATTACATTTCTTCCAAAGATGTGCAGTTAATTTGTTTGAATAAAAAGTTTTTTCGAGTTAAATATGTCATAAATGGGAAAATACACACCTTTCAAAATTATAGAATAAATACGTTTTTCTTCCTTTTTTAAAAAAAAAAAAAAAAAAGAAATAGGTTATTACTAAATAAAAAAATGACGTACTTTTATTAACCTTTCTATGTTTCAGAACCAGACATAGATCTTGGTTTATCATCTATCAAATTCATTATCTGCCTAAAAAAACCGTCTGCTCTCAACAGAAGCTTCAAAACAGTATGATATGACACGTTTACTTAGAGGAAAATTATCATTGGTTTAACTATCTATTTAGTGTTTTGGTTCCACCGTGACTGTTATACAATGTACACGACAACCTTGCGTGGGACTGCTTAATTTCTGCGTTGACTTTAACAGTACAAATATTGATCATTCCCTGTCAAAGTTAGCGGTGAGGCCCATGGAACCCCATCGCTTTCACTAGGGTCTCTAAGGTATTGCAGACTCTCACTTTTTCTCTCTCCGTAATCTCTTTGAGATGGAACAAGGCTCATCTTTTTGGTATTAGCACATTTATGCTGATACATATTTGATGTGTAAAAGTGTCATGCGCTATCCGAATAAATGTCATAATTGGTTTAGCAAATACCGTGGCGTAATCTCATAGGATGAAATACGATATATAATTCGCCAATTGGTGTTTCTGGGGGCCTGGAGATTTTGTTTATGCTTGTAATTAATCTAGATCGAGGAGTTTTAATAAATAAACCAAAATGATTAAGTTAGTGCACAATATATGCGAATAATTCATGTGAAAGTTTGATTTCGCGAAAGTGAGAAAAACCAGATGGTGATTTAGTGACTGGTTTAACATGACACTGTCGATTTCGCAAACATTCTCACTCTTACCATTGAAGAAAATAAGAATAGCAAGCTTCCAGATGGACCATTTATGGCAGTAAATGTACATATATAAGTCTTTTTTATGGCCAATGTACAAGACTTTTTAAGGAGTATAAACTCACTATCATGACCTATCATAACATAACAGAGAAACATATTCCCAAATTCAAAGTGTGAAACGGGAACTGGGAAAACGATTATCTTAATAATACAAAGCCAAAACTTAAACTACATCGAAACAAATGAATCCCATAAGGAAAAAAGCAAATCAGTCTGGTCGGGGACAAAATAGCACCTCTGCAGAAACAAACAGGTCAATAAACCTACAGGAAAGGAAGATTTAAGGGAATTTGGTGCAATAACAAACCCGAAGCAAAGTGTTGCAGTCATAAAAAATACTCAAAGACTAATTAAAGATTCTATTAGAGAAAGCTCGTAGAAAGTCTCGAAGGAATTGCAATGGAGGCTTTTTTTTAAAATAGATGAACCCTCTCAACTTCAAATGAAATCTGAATAATATCAAGCATGTGACATCAAGAGAGACATTTAAAAACAAAATGGAAACACAGAATTTCAGATTTGCTGAATGTTTTCTGTAAAATTTACAGCATCATTTGTAAAACAACAATTGCGAATGAACTACCAATTTGAAAAATTTGAAGCTAACAGGAATGATTTTTGTAGGATAAGAAAAATTAATGAAAACAAAAAAACAGTGAAATATTTTGGTTGAATTGAAAAGAACCAATTGTCAAACCTTCACAAAGATAAGGATGTATTTAAAGAATGGGATTTCAACACAATTTCATTCTCAAAGCAATTCGTTGTTCTTTTGGAGAACTAGGAAATGGTCCTGTCATTTTGTTAATTTGAAATCCAGACTTAAACCTGAAATGATTCTGCTTCAGCTATACGTAAAAGAAATGCTTTCTTTTCTATGTTGACGTTGATAGTTATCGTAGGACCCGCAAAATATGTTAAATACACTTTTTGTATTAGCTGGTGTGATATGATAAGCTAATGATGGTCAGTTCTGTGTTTTTGAATCTCATTTTAATGTTTCTGGAAGAAAAATTTACAGAGAAGAACGAGAAGACATGACGAAAAAAGAAAAAAAATGAGCTAAAATATGTTTACTTATATATATAATTCTGGTCATGAAATTGTAACTTACATAATTTGTCCATACATTCAGCGTTAAAATTTGTTTCTTTTCATCCAAGCTCATAATCTGGATCAATTGGAGACCAAATCTGAGATGAATGATGTCGGAAAAATTCTTGACTGGTCTTCCAAATTTTCCCCTCTCTGCATATTTCCGGAGAAGGTGTTTGATCAGTCGATCTTCGTAAGAAAACTCAGTACTACTTGTGTGGCCGGTTCCTGAAATAGAGTTAAAAATAGTTTACATCAAAGTAAGATTTTCCCAGAAAAACTCTTTAATTACACAATTTTCATATGTTTCAAATATAAAATAGACACAACTGACCCTATTGATATGATAGGGCAAGATTTTTTTTTCAACAATACTTAATCATTTTTAATCTGAGTCAGAAGAAGTTTAAGATAAAGTATATTTCAATCTTTATCTATTGGAGTTATATTTTCTAGACACTATATTCATCGTTATGCTTCATATGATACTCAGTGATGCAAATTCATTTTTTGTATAATCCTTACCTATTATAACTTTAAAGTTAAAAGATGAGTTTACAATCAGGGGTATTTCATATGTTCTTTTCAGTATCAGTTCAACCCATCATTGTTAGTTCAATCCCATAAACTAAACATTCAAGACATCAACTTCGATTTGAATTGCATACTCCTACTGAGAAAAGCAGTTTAGATTACAGACTGTCATTATTTTTAGATTTAGTATCAATTTTTTTTTATCATAAGCACTAACTTGTCCTGTTAAATGCTTACCAATACTTTGATTACGTTTGTAACATTTGGTACTTACATATGAAAGATAAATTCCTTTTTGCTTGTTTTAAAATAAACGGATGTAGTTTAACAAATCAGAAAATGGGAGAAAGTTGGTTTTTGGTTTAGTTAATGATATTTTTTATAAACAAAATTTATTGCAGTACTTCAACAATATCTTAATCATACGCTGAATAGAAATTGATTATTCAAACACGTTTTTTTTTCAATAATAAGAATGTATATAATTTATCCAAGAAAAGACAACCAGAAATTTGTAGTTTAATTTGCATATTTCTATAATAAATTTCAAATTAGCCGCTTATTGCATTTTTTAGTCATCAGAGTCACTTAGCTGACCAAATTTTATCAATTGTTGTCTGTCAAATTTGTAACTTCTTCTCCAGAAACAATGAACCAATTTCAGCCAAGGTTTCAACAAAGCATCCTTTAGTTAATAGTTTTCAAGCAATGAAATGAATTGCTTGACCTTCTTCCCAGAGGAGATGATAAAGAAATAGTGCAAAAAGAATTTGGTCATTTTTAAAAAGAAATCTTCTAGAGTACGGTGGGATTTGTCAAATGTATGTGAAAACATCTTCGGTTAAGTGTATTTTCAAGTCTTGTTCAAAACATCGTCCCTTTTGCAAGGATAGGGGGAAAAGGGCGTCCTAAGTTTTACAAAGAAAAGAAATGAAAAAAATCTTTTAAAACATTAAATACTTCTTGATGCCAAATTCATATAATTAACGGTAGTGAAGATTTTACTATCCTTGGTGCTTGGATAAGGCTACAAAAAGGATCCAAGAAAGCTCATGTTGATTTATACCGGTATTAAAGATCTTAAACAACTTCATTTTTCTTTAATATAAATGTTTGCTTTATTATGTCATTGCCCAGAAAGAGAGTTCAAATTTAGTAAGAAAATGAGCACAAAAAGTTTTGAAAGACTTTTCTTCAACAGGTGCAAAATTTAAAAAAAAATGTCGATATGATATACAAGCCTACCCAGGTATATTTTAATTTATTCATATCATGACCTCCGAAACAGTACGGAAGCCCATTTAGGACCTATCAAAAATATTTTTGAATTCGATATGACGAATCGTCGAATTTGTTATAACGAATTTAATTCATTATAACTGTTTCTTTGAATTCGTTATAATGATTTTAATCTGTTATAACTAATTTGTTGAATTCGTTATAACGAATTCAAAAATTTGTTTTAACGAATTAAATTTGCTATAACGAATTCTGAAACTTGTTATAACGAATTAAATTCGTCAAAACGAATTCTTTAATTTGTTATAACTAATTAAATTCGTTAAAACGAATTTGACAAATCGTTATATCGGATTCATATATATTTTCTATAGGCCCTGATTGTTGAATTTGATTTAACGAATTTAATTCGTTAAAACAAATTTTTGAATTATTAACGGATTAAATTCGTTATCACAAATTCTACAATTCGAAAATATTTTTGATAGGTCCTAAATGGGCTTCCGTAGAACATGGATGTGGCCACTTAATTAAGTCCAAAGTTTTACAAAACAAATTGGCGAGAAACGTGATTAAATATTGTCTTCTTAAGAACCACCAGACCAGAAACTGCAAGCTTATTTGCAAATAACTTTAATTGTAGATTCAAGTTTGGTCAGATAATGGCCCCTTGGACTTGTATTAGATCTCAAAGAGATTATGGCTCCTGATCCCACCTCTGATGTTCTAAAGGTCCGTGTTTGCTCTGAATTTGTATCGTTTCAATGGACTTCTGACATTGATTAGTGTTCGTTATCTTCATATTTCATTAAGGGTCCTTCGGATGAGACCTTAAAAACCGAGGCCCCGTGTCACTGCAGGCGTTGGAACGATAAAGATCCCTCATTGCTCAATGGCCCTGAGTGCCGAGTAAAGGTCAAAATTTGAAGCCCTTCACCGGTATTTGGTGACGTCTCTATATGAGTGAAAAATTCTCGAATGGAACGTAAAACAACATACAATCATATTTCATTTACAAAGAAATGCGTGGAAGAACTCTTTTAAAAACTCTTCTTAACAAGCATCCTGATTAACATGTGATAGAGTTAGGCATATGTGGTGAGACAATCCTTAATACTGTATTAGAAACAAGAGGCCCATGGGCCACAACGTTCACCTGAGTAACTTCGGTCCAGCTGTTCTTCACAAGATTTCCCCCTTCATACCTACTGTGGCTCCAACCTACTCCAGGGGGTCATGATTTGAACAATTTAGAATCTACACTTCCCCAGGATGCTTCCACATAAGTTTCAGCTTTTCTGGCCAAGTGGTTCTTGAGAAGAAGATTTTTAAAGCTTTTTTCTAAATATTTCAATGTAAAACTTGGATTCCCTATTGTGGCCCCGCCCTACCCGCGGGGATCATCATTTGAACAATTTAGAATCTATACTTTCCCAGGATGCATCCACATAAGTTTCAGCTTTTTGCTGGCCCAGTGGTTCTTGAGAAGATTTTTTAATGACCTACCCAATTTTGTCTTTTCTTGATTATCTCCCCTTGTAAGGGGGCTTGGCCCTTCATTTTAAAAATTTAAACTCCTCTTAACCCAAGGATGCTTTGTACCAGCTTTGGTTAAAATTGGCACAGTGGTTCTTGAGAAGAAGTTGAAAATGTGAAAAATTTACAAACGTACGGAAACGGACAACGGGTGATCAGAAATGCTTACTTGAGCATTCAGCTCAGGTGAGCTAAAAAGTATAAAGAATTTTCCCCAAAAATAATGCTTTAATTTTTTTAATTATTAAGGAAACGTCCTAGAGTATAGTGTAAATTAAAATTTGTCAAAGTATTCCACTGGGGACGAACGATAATGGCTCATGAAAAAAAAAATTGCTTACTTACACTTAGGACCTAAGACCGTACAATGAGAACAGACTTAATATGAACTCTAACAGCACTGCTTACACTTAGAAAAGATTACATGAGCATCTTACATCAACAGTTTTTGTATTCGTAAGTAATCTGCCACTTTAATAGTTAATAAGTTACTTTGTTTTTGGATATACAGTTTGTTATCATAAAAGCAGATTGTCACCTTGAGTTCCGGGCGCTAACGTTATTAAGATTAGGAGAATGTATAAAAAAAAAAAAAAAAAGAACATCTCTATCAATATATAGTAAGGGATTATGTACCCAGTACATAATTACAAGGTTCCTCAACCTTTTTAGATTATGTATTGGTAAAATTATCAAATAGATTAAAATGTTTATTTACATAACAGTAAACAAATTTATGTGCATTTATGTACACTTGATATAGCTATACCGTGTACGATTATTAACGTTTATCCTGAATATAACGTATATATATCCAGAAAACATCTGCTAATAGAATATTTACATCTTATTTACCGATTATAGCTAAATGATCAAACAAGAAAATGTTATTGTTTTTGTCTAATGTTCCATATAACACTTTTAAACAAACAAAAAACTAACTATAAGACTTTCATTCCTTTTCTTTTCTCCATTCTCAAGCCCTGTACTAATTACTCAAATTTGGAAAGCTACCAAAAACCTACTAGTATATTATGCTTCCGTGACAGTAGGTAAGTAATTTATTTTTCATGGAGTAGAACTGTGCTGTGTATTTGTGAAGAAAAATCAATCGAGATGTTGACGTTTGCTTCGATCAACACCTTAATGGTCATTAAACAAAATAAACATATCGCGAGAAAATATGAACAGCCGCCCGGCCAGTTTCAGCTATTGTCCTATGATTCTGTTAGATCGATGTAAAAAGCTTGCTTAATTCAATTTACTTTATATTTTTTGGAGGTGATTTCGTATCCTTTATATCAGTGATATAGAGTGCGCTACATTAGTAAATTGCAAAAAAGATACCAAAGTCTGCAGATATCCTGTCTTATGTCTGTCGCAGAAAATAAACAAATACGGCTTAGGAATTTTATCGGATATATTTCTTCTCCTGGTTTTTAATGAGACGGAAGGATGTTATAGTTGATTGATTCCTGCAAAAAGAGGCTTTATTTTTTGGGAGGTTTGATCGTGTCTTGCTGCCTACCTTAATATTATCATTGTCTGACACTTCAGATTGTAACAGATTATTCGAGATTGTGCGAAATATCCGAAACTTTGGTGAAAATTGGAGTTGATGTATATTTTCACGTTCCTCGATGATTGGTTAGATGTTATGCTACGAGCATCTAATCTTAGATAACTTGGTCAGGACAAGCCGTGGTATTTCGCAAGACCTATATATCACTCTCGCCAAATTTCCAATACTTGATAGGGCATTGGCAATCTCCGTGGCTGAAATATCTATGGTTCATGATTCGATGTGAATTTTGATGGATTATGAACTTATGGTGTTTGTGTATTCTGGTTGCATTGGCCTTATGTATTTTTAACAAGATCAAAATCGGATACTTCTCTACCAATTGCTACATCAATCA